ACATCACCGAGGCGCAGCGCTTCTCCCACCTCCCCAAGCGCTCGGCCGTGGACGTGGAGTTCGTGGAGCTGTCCTACTCCGTTCGCGAGGGGCCCTGCTGGCGAAGGCGCGGTAGGGAGAAGGGGGGCCTGCGGGTGGGGGAGCAGGTGGCGGGAAGCTGGGGCCCCCGCGCCCCGCAATGAGCAGGAGGCCTGGGTGTCCCCCCTGCGAAACCTGCCCCGTGGGCACTCGGAAACCTCAGCCCCTCACTTAGTGGAGGTGCCGGGGTCTGGGTCTCCCCACGTGGGAGCTCTGGGAGGCACCAGCTTTCCTTGGTCACTGACACTGTCTGCCTCTCGGTGGCTACTATGCCCTTTGGTCACTGAGGAGTTTTATTTTTAGGGAGGATTCTTGCCTTTGAGGGCCCGCATGAGGAAGTGTGTGTGTGTGTGTGTGTGTGTGTGTGTGTGGTGTGTGTGTGTGTGTGTGTGTGTGTGTGTTCTCAGTGTTTAGCAAATAACCTTGTACCTCTAGAACACTGCTAGTTTTTAAAAATATGTTTTTACTGATTTCAGAGATGAAGGGAGAGGGAGAGCGATATAGAAACATCAATGAGAGAAACATCCGTCGCTGCCTCCTGCACACCCCACACTGGGGATCAAGCCCGAAACTCCGGGCAGGTGCCCTGACCAGGAATTGAACCCGGGACCCCCTGGTGGGTGAGATGATGCTCAACCACTGAGCACACGGGCCAGGCAACACTGCTCATCTTTAAAGATGTTCTCCTTCCTGAGCCCCACTCCATTCTTGCCAAAGCCTTCACAGCAGGGAGGGTGATGGTTTGTCGGGACAGATGACATCCCCTGTTACTAATATACAAATTAGGAAGTTGAGTAACTTGACCCATGTCACACAGCTAATAAGTGGTAGAGTTGGGCCCAGAAGCCAGGTTTTACAGCTCTCCATGCATTTTTCTGTCAACATACGAATGTCCACACCTACAGAAAAAATCTATAGGAGTTTACTGAAACTGAGGACTTGCCCAGAAGCAGGATCTCAACAAATTGAGAAAATGTTTCGGTCTTTTCACGCATTTAGAGTCAAAGGAGAGAGACCGTAAGGAGGGTTACATGAGGGCAGTGGAAGAAAGCAAGGTGGGAAGTCTGGAAGTTAACGTGCACAGTGCGTAGAAATGGCAACAAGATCCCAACGAGGACTTTGGGAGCCTTCGGGGTCTGAAAAAGCAGATCCTCCTAGCAGCTGTTTCTGAGGTCCTACCCTGCGCGCGATGCGTAACAGTGGACAGGGCTCACGTAGGGAGGTCACCCAGCCTGCCCAGGGAGGGGATTTATGGCCAGATCGGCCTGTGAAGTTCCTCTTAGTAGCTGAGCAGTCAGGCCTGCCACGTGACCCCCTGAGCTTGGCAGACTTACTGCGAAGCCCCCTCTTTTGCTCACAGTTGTTTTCTCTCTCTTAACCTCCCCCTCAGGACATTTGGGTGAGATCTGGGGCTCTGAGCGCCTCTGCACCCTGACCGCCCCCCACATCTCCTGCCCTGGGCCGAGTGGGCTAGGATGGTGTGGGTGGGGAGTGAAGCTGGGACGTTGTTCTCTGAGGTTGAAGAAAGATCTCAGGTCTCAGAATTTCCTGTCCTCACTCCAGGGAGCGACCCAGAGGTCACAGGGCGCGAGCCGATGGAAACGGAGGCACGTGGGCTGCCTGCACAGCGCCCTGCCCTTAAGCAGCCTCTCTCAGCTCTGAGACCAGCTCTGGGCAAAATGGGGGGGAGCGGTTATTTCCCCAGCCTTCTCATTTCTGCAGTGTTAAGGAGAAATGAAGATGAAAAGGAAAGGTAGTAAGATGGCCCAGCTCTCTGGTTGCTTCAACCACCAGGACAAAACTGGCACCCTCACCTGGTCCTTCAGGCCTCTGACCTTGCCAGCCCCGTTTTGCTGTACTGTCCCTTCTGCTGACTCTCAGCCTTGCCCCTTTCTCTGCCCCCTGTCCTCTCCAACTCCTCTTTCCACTCGAATCTCTCTCTTTCTCTAAAGGGCAGGAAGTAATTGCAGGTAGGCAGAGAGGGGGAAAGCACGGGGTGTGGAGAGAGGGAGAGTTCCATCTTTTCAAGGTAAGGATTTCTCACCAGTCTTCCCTAATTATATGGGACGTTTCTTGGTTTTCAAACACTTTTTTAAACTTAAAAATAAATTCCTCAGCTGAGGCTATGTTTTTATTGATTTTAGAGAGAGAGGAAGGGAGAAGGAGAGAGAAAAGCAGGTGAGAGAAACATGGATTGGTTCCCTCCTGTACGTGCCCCAACTGGGGATCGAACCCACAACCTAGATATGTGCCCTGACTAGGAATCAAACTTGCAGCCCTTCAGTGAATGGGACTGTGCTCCAACCAACTGAGCCACACCAGCCAGAGCAAAATACTTTTTTTTCCCCATTGATTTTTTTTAGAAAGAGTGGAAGGAAGAGGGGGAGGGAGGGTCACAGAGAGAGAGAGAAACATCAAATGTGAGAGAGACACATCGATTGGTTGCCTCCCGCATATGCCCCACCCACGCCATGATTGGACCTGCAACCCAGGTATATGCCCTTGACTGGGAATCAAACTCCCACCTTTTGATGGACAGGCCAGCACTCTAACCACTGAGCACACCAGCTAGGGCCAGGGCAAAACACTTTTATTTTTTAAAATAAATCTTTATTGCCGAAACCGGTTTGGCTCAGTGGATAGAGCGTCGGCCTGCGGACTGAAGGGTCCCGGGTTCGATTCCGGTCAAGGGCATGTACCTGGGTTGCGGGC